CTTTCAACGGAGATTTTAATTTCCTGGCAATCTCTTTGTATCTGTTTCATTATTTCTAGATTTTTAAATATTCTTCACCAAAGGTTTCTCTTCTTTTTCTGGTTCCTCCATTCTTCCATCTGTATCTTCTTGAGAGGAGCTTCGCATTTTTTTTTATTACTCTTTTTATATCTTGCCTCACTTGGATTAGAATTTCAGTTTTAAGTTCATTTTTGAGGTCATGAAGGCATTTCTTTATGTCCACTGATGTTGTGGCCAATTTTGCATGACTGCTGCACTGGATCTCTTCTGTACTTACCTTTCCTGGACTTATTTTCCCAGGATCAGTGGCTGGAGACTTTGTCTTATTTCATTCTCTTGTCATGTTTCTGGTTTCCTTCAGACAGGTATATGGAGGAGGTCTCAGGCTCTCTCCATGTTGCTTACGATTTTTCTAAAGTGTGCTGGCTGGGGGCTTGCTGCCTTCTCCAGTTTACTGTTATCTGAGGTGCATGCAGGGATGATGTGTGCTGGCCATCTTCTCTGAGCCATTCAACTGGCGAGTGCCTTCAGCATGTTAGTCTGTGCTTTGAGATGTCACAGGTTTAGGACAGTTTTGTCCCTGGCTATTGGGTCCCAACGCGGCGCATGACTCAACCCAAGCAGATCCCACCAACCCTCCTTGGGCCAGGGGTAACTGACGGACACCATTGTGATTCCAGGTTGGGGTCTGTCCTGTCCAACTCCAATATGTCCTCCAGCAAACCTTACCTGCCACGGGACCCAATGTCCAGCACTCACCGTGAATTAATGCAGTTCTCTAACTTGACTCCACTCTACGCTGCATTGCGTCCTCCTGCCAAAGGCCCTGGATTTACCAACTCCCAATTTCCACAGCTGCGGCTTCAGGAGGCCATAAATTATCAGACTCCAGGACACTCCCAGCATGGTAGGGACGGGATCCAGGAAGCATGTTTGGTTCCAGGCTTTCATTCAGGTTTTTCCTTCCTTCCTTTCTTTTTCTTTTTCCTCAGTTTCTTCCTGGGTCATGAGAATCCCTCTCCTTTCATCTAGTCTTCTTCACAGTGTTAAATTCTAGCATCTGAGTTGTTTTTCTCAGAGAGGCTCTTTACCCTGCTACCTATCAAACCGCCATCTTCAGAATTCCACTCCATTTCTTTTCTTTTGCTATTTCTTTTTCTCTTCCCTTTACCCCTTCCCCTTCTTTCTCTTCCCTTGCCTTCCCTTCTCTTCCCCTCTTTTCCCTCCCTTCCCCTTCCTTAACTTTCTTTTCCAGTGCAAAGATCTATGGGTGAGCTCCCAGTTATGAATCTAGTTTTTGACACTGTTACACCATACAGTATAACATTCTTATGTATGAGCCTTGCTCTGCAAAGTTTATGGGGAATTATCTTAGAATTTACAATAAATTACATCAGAAGCAAAAGATCATCATATTGCATACATAAAATGCACGAGATTAATAAACTAAACAAGCAAGGATTATAGTTTCATTGAATAGGATAAACCCAGTGTGGAGTAAAGGGTGATCTCAGAAGTAACCACGCTATAACACTGATACAATTCACACCAGAGAATGGAAAGATCAGCCTTACAACATACTTAAGGTTCAATATTTTTTTTTTTGCTTAAGTTCATTCCATCATTCCATCTATCATCCAAAAATACCTACCATTATTTAAAAAGCTAATAATGCTATTTAGTCAGTTGATTACAACTGTTTAATTTAATTCAGTCTGTACACCTTGTGGTGAAAAGATATCATTACAGATAATCACATATTTGTATTCTGTACCTAAGAAACACTGTCCACAGGACTTTAATGATAGACACAGCATTTCAAATCTGTAACTCTTAATTATTATATGACACGTATCAGTCATGAAAAGAAGGAGGGAACAGGCCTCTGCTAAGTCACAAACTGCACTGGATATTCCTGTAAAAGCAATGGAACTCTGCAAGTCAATCAAGAATCAAGCCTCATGAATGAAGCTGTTTTGGTATTTGTGTTTGTCTGTTTGCTTCCTTATTCCTTATACCTAGAAAATATCTGTCATTTATAAAATATTTGATAAATAATTATTCAATTAAAACATGTAATGTGTGGCTGTTCTTCAATAGAAAATTGTATTTTGATTTCACCATAAAACGTCTTCCAGTCTTTATTTTGTCTGTGTTCCATGGTGATATCCTGAGAAAAATTTTAAATCTCATTTGGGCCATGATCTCATCACTTGTGAAATTAAAATCAACCACGTGAAAAGCATCTCAGAATTCAGTAAGGCATGGTGACACAGGTGTGAGCTTAGCAATCTGGGAAGCTGAGCAGAAGGTACAGGAGCTGAGGTCAGTCTGGAACAAAGCAAGTCCATTTCTCAAGCAAACAAACAAAGAATAAATTATCAGGTTCACACTAACCATATCCAATACCAGACGAGGAAGCTGCACCACCTCCTAAGCCTCATGTCAGTCTCCAGCTGCAGGTTTGGGGACAGGCAGCAGGTGCCTGGTGAGCATCGTGCCCCTACCACACAGATGTACAAGGCAGAGTTGCTGAGCTGGGATGCTGTGATATGCAAGGAGCTGTGTTTGGCGGCTGCATCCAGAGTCACTGTGTACCTTCCACTTGATGTCTTGCTCTTGGTGGAAGCGATGATTATCACCAGGACAGGACCTCTCCCTGGGTCCTGCCTGTACCACCTGACATTGTTAACGGGGCTCACAGTGTAATCACATTGAAGGCTGCAGCTCTCTCCCTGAAGCACAGTCAGAGACTGAGGACTCTGCTCCACTACAGGGTTTCCATTCACACCTATTCAGAAGCAGAAAATAAGAGATCAACAATCTAGTTTTAACAACCTCTAATCTCCATCCTTTCTATGCTGATAGGAATCCCAGCTGAACTAGAATGTAGGCCCACCGTCTTTCTTCCTCCTATCCCAGTGTAATACACTCTGTCCGAGTCCTGTGAACATCTTCCCTGACTCTGTGTGTCAGGGCTGGAAGTCCACACAACTTACACCAAACAGAAAGCCACAAAACCAGCAAGGAGGTCTTCAGATGCTTCTCCATTCTTATTCTGCAAAGGTGTGCCCCTGCCAAGACTGACTTGTCTTTCAAAACCATCTCTTCCTTATAACATTAAAAAAAGGGTTCTCCAGTTGGACACCCAGTCAGTAAGATGTCATATTCATTTGTAGACTCAGTATTCACTTTTGTGGGCAGGGCCAGGGCTACACTGCCAGCCTGGAGCCTGAGCTACAGTTGCTCAGAATTGCTGTTCTTTTGCTAAGCTTCCTCTTTATGGTTTTCAAAGGGACATAGAATACAAGCGCCTATATGTCTCAAGAAGCACAACAGATTACTAATTCAGTTGTTTATTTGAAGATCTGAAGTCAATTCTCGCTACCTATGATATGAATAGGACTTTTAAGTTTAAGATTTCTCTTCTGATAATGGATATGGTGAATGCAAAACTAGTAATTTTGTTTTTGTTAGTTTGAGAAAGGGTCTTGCTATACTCCAGCCTGATCTCAACTCCTAGTCCTTCTGCCTCAGTTTCCCAGATTGAGGAGATACAGTTGATGAATCATATCTTGGTGGATTTTGAACTGTTTAAAACTGACAATTCAGGTAAAAGACCTATAACAGGGACTAACTTGAACTTCAACTAATGTATTTGTTGTTTTAGGGTAGGAGGTTTTCTCAGCTCTACTCTACCATATATTTGGTTTCTAGGAAGTGATCCATGCAGAAGTAGACACATAACAAATCCTTACTGAATGAATGAGAAGATTTGCTCCCATGGGGATAGTAGTACTTTGTCATTATAATTATGAATTGAACAATTTTCAAAGGTTTGCTGTTGCTCAGGCATAAGTATGTCCTGAGGATAAGCAGAATCCTTGATCATGGAAACAGATTCCATTGTAAGAGTTTAGATGCTGGAAATTTCTCAAATTTGAATCCTGTGAAAAATTTTAGCTCAGTAAAATAGCACCCCAATGAAAAGGTAATCATATGGGGAGTCGCTGTATATTTATAATTGAATGTAAAGAGACACAGAAAACAAAAGAATGCACAAAAGTATTCCAGTCAAAAATCAAAATAAAGCTTGTTTATTATCCTTATATAAGATAAAATGAGCTTTTTAAAAAGAATTGGCAGGGGTAACAGTGTTGTAGTGATTATTTTTGTGTGTCTCTCTGGTCAAGGAGAAGTGAGTCATGAGATACCTGTTCTAACAGTTGTGTAGATGTCACTGTGAAAGCTTTGGGATGAGAATGCGATGAGAAGATAGAGCACAGAGGATGGTGAGAGAGTAAAAATATTCTGTGTGACATTGTACAGGGTGACATAGTAATTAATTTCTATCAAAACCTATGTGATGTGAAATCATAAAAATGACATCTAAGATGAACAATGAAGCTCGAGTGACTGTGACCTGTGAGACCAGGGTCACCATTTGCAGCCAGCAGAGCACTCCAGCTGAGAATTTTGGTAAAAGTGAAGGCTACAAGATTAGTTTTTTGGGTTTATATCAAAAATCTTACTGTCTTCCTCTCAAGTTTGCTGAAGGCTGAAATGGTGAGGTTCCAAGGCCTCCCTTACTTAAAAAGTTTGTAACATAATATTCATTCAGTAAATACTTAAGGATCAATTAACACGACAATCCAAAAATGTACTGCTTTGTTAGTCACTTGCTTCTAAAATTCTTCATCCAGCTTTTTCCTAGCTGGATCTCATGGCCGAGGAGCCACTGTTCTCTGTCTGTTCTTCTTTTGCAACTTCCCATCAAAATTCTGTCTGTAACTTCCAGCTACAGCTTCATGGATGTGGATGTCTGTAGTTACTGATGCTTGCAGATATGGCCGTGAGCCCAAGAGGGGCTTGCTTAGCAAGCCTCTCTCTCTAACACTACCCCTGTGCTGCCTCAGACCTAGCTACTTCCTGTGGGAAGTGGTGACAAGTTTCCTTGGCCTCTGCAGCAGGTGGCTGTCTCAGGCAGATTTGGGGGTTTTTATACTCCTCCCCCAACAGTCCTTACACTGTGGCTCTCTCAGTGCACAGAAATACACTGCTGAGTCCTCCAGCTGTGAAGCCGAGATGATAAGGTGGATGGATTTGCCTGCTTTCTGGAAATTCGAGGAGTAGCGACCTTCTGTTGCATTCTGTGTGTCATAAGAGTTCTGGCGAAGGAGTAAGACCATCTCCCCGCTGCTGGGCTGCTTGTACCAGAAGAGACTGTAACTTGGTTCACTGGTGTCATAGGTGCACTGCAGGATCACAGCCTCCATCTCCTCCGCTGATACTGGCAGCTGGGCTTGAGTTATCTTCTGGGCAATACTGGATCCTGAAGGAATAAAAGAATCAGAGTGTTTAGCATATGCAGAGTGGGACAACATTCCCTGTCATTGCTTTTCCCATATTCGATGTAAGACAATTCCTGTGCTCCCATCCTGAAGTCACAGAGGAGGCCCAATCCCACTGCAGCTTCATACCCAGCCATGTGGAGGCCATGAGCAGCTTCATCACACCAAAGAGAGACATGCTTGCATTTACCAACCAGAAATACAGTTTGTCTTCTTCAAATTCACTGCTCTGAGCTGTGATGTGAGCCTGATGGAGTGGGGGATGGGAGAATAGCTGAGCTCTGCTGAGGTTGCTCAGAAGCAGGAAACAGAAGTTTCCTAGTGAAAGGCGTGGGCATGAGTCCTGTCACACTGCTCTGTGTTCTGGCTGGCAGTCTCACCCAGCCTGAGCCTCCTTTTAAATCAACCAATTCTGATAGGTTAATATTCCATTCAGCCTGATAATACATAGGAGTCTATTGAAAGGAAACTCATTAAAATAACCTCTGCTCTTCCTTCCTGCATCTGTGCTGGGCCTCGGAGGTCAGCACGTATTTAAAGGCCCTGTGTACAGAGGATTAGGAAGACAGTGTGAGGTGCAGTAACCACGCATCTCCATGTGTATGCGTGTCATTTAGTCTAAAGGAGAAATCACTGGATCAGTGAAAAGCAAAGTTCACTGAAGCCATCACTGCAGCTTTTTTGATTTAGCTATTGGTGTGAAAATATCTCTCTCACTTCCAACATGTGATCTGTCCTCTCTCCTGGGTCAATCAGCACGGAAACCTCATCTCTCTTTCCCAGTCTTTGGCATATTACATCTCTGGACTTGTTGCCAAATATCTAAGTTTTTAAATTTTTGATACAGTATCGCAATACATAGGGTAATGAACTCTTAATTTTAAAATTTGTGTTTTACATATTTTAATATTTTAATATTTAATTTTTAGCATTTTATAATAACAATATTGGATGCAATTTTCTAAGAAGTCAGAAATCCATGTGTGAATAGGATTGTGATACAAATCCTGAGCATTATTTATACGAGAGAGGTCTGAGTAGCAAACGTAAACTCACCTTTAAAGAGGATTTCATTACAAAAATCTTGTCAGTTCCCTTAAAAGCCAACTAACTGCTGCCTCAGGACTGCTGAAAACAGAAAGGCTCCTGGATTTGGGCACCCTAGGAGGGCATTCTGCCTCCTGCTTCTTACCCAGTTGCTCCTATTTACCGGTTGCACAGATGTTGTACACGGCAGATGTGCACAGTGACAAATGAAAGACACAACATAATCTATGAAGCCACCGTCAGCTAGCAAAACATTCTAAGCTTTTTACTTTCATATTTCATGCTTTTAATGGCCGCATATTAGTTTCTACTTAAAAAGCAAAACACGGCAAACACTACCCTGATAGGTGTGTACCCAAGAACAGAGGATGGGCTCAGCTCAGGGGCGAGTGTGTTGGCATTCCGGAGAGGTCGGGCCTGCAACCCATGTCCTGCTGCCCTGAAGAACGCAACTGAAAGTCCACAGTGGGCGGCTGCAGCATTTGAGGGTTGTGTGACTGATTGTTTAGTAAAGTCCTTGGCTTTGCTTTCTGCCCGTGTCTAAACGAGCGTGCATAAGGAGTTGAGGACCTTTTTAGCTCTTTGCTCCCACCATGGAGAGCAGGATGGAGCCTGCCTGAGTCAGTGCCCTCCTGCGAGAGCTGCTTTGAGCCGGGACCTGTGAGCGGGTTCTGCTCCTCCAGTTCTCCTGGGCTGCCCTCATGCCTAGACGAAAGGCAGGGAATGGTGCAAGGTGCCAGGTCGTTATGCTGCAGAACTCACTTTTCCTACCATAACAGAGAAGCCTACATAAAACTAATCTCCCTGTGTGTGTAAGAGAACCTGCTGATACACTGTCCAGGTACAAATCCTCAGCCCCCAGTCGCAGCCAGGGGAACTCCAATAATGCGCGAGTGTCCCTCTCCATTATTCCTCCCCAACAGGGTCATTCTTATCTAGAAGTCTCCAGCCAGCAGAGTTATTCCTATGATCAGGTAAGCCTGTTTTTATTTACGATTAAAGTGGTTTCTCACTTCGCAGAGTGGCTTCTCCTGTTTTCTACCTACGCAGTAAAAAATGTCTCAGCTTGAGGCCATCAGCTTCCTATCCATTTAGAATTTGCTAAAATGAGGGTTGGGGACACAGCTCAGCTGCACAAGCAGGTGCCGGGCAAGCGCAAGGTCCTGGGCTGGATTTTTGGTTATAAAAATAAAACAAAAATCAAAAAAAGATGAACTCTGCCCTTAGTCCACACTAGTTGATGTGTGCTGCCATCTGGCGGCAGCTCCCTAACTACTGAAATCAGGTTAAAAGCTGATACTTCATACTAAGGCCTCAGCCTTGTACAGTTCTCTACATAGGTCTTTACTGGAGATTAGATGCACAGTCAGCATGAAGAGGTCAAGGTGGATATTCATGTGCACTAATGAGTCATTATTAATAAACTGGAATGAGATAAATGTTTATTTATCAGCAGACTAAATTTAAAATCAAGGAAACTTCCACATTCTCATTAAAAAAGAAAAAGCAATCTTCTTTTCAGCTTAATATACCTTCAAGATTTACCTTTTACAGTGAAAACACTTCTTAAAAGAAACGTGTGAGCCAAAGATCAGAGTAAGAGAGAGGAGCTCCGAGTATCTGAGTTGCGGTTCTCTCAGCCTCTGCTTCTCCAAGGCTGATCCAGCCAGCCACCATGCTCTTCGCAAAGAACAGATGATCGCTCACAGCCCACCCAGGCCACTTCTGTAAAACTGGGGGTTGAGAGCAGTAAAGAACAAGTTTAAGTTCCAGCTCGAAGTGTCCATCATTTACATGAACTGAAACTCTTGATTCTGGCAGTCAGCTTGCTTAGACCATAGCTCTCCCAGAGCCAAAGGCTAGAGCCCAAGCACCTGGACCCCTGAGGCTGCTCCCCTTTGCTCAGGGATCCGATCCTTCAGGAGAGTGACAGGGAGCAGATTCCTAAAGAAGAAATGAGAAAGTTGGTTCTTTCTATTCCCACTCACTTATTTACTAGCTAGTTGTTTTATACTTGAGTTTTTCATGTGGTTTCTGCCTTTGTAAAAATAAAGTGGCACTAGAAGATCTCTAAAGATCCTTCTAGATATAAGAAGATTTTATACCATGAACAGAAAATGTTTATTAAATGGTGGCTTTATAAAATATGGAGGCATATGACAGTGGGGAGAAATTGTCCTGTACCATGGAATTCTAAGACCATTTTTAAGTTCACAGGTAATTTAGTGTCCCCAAGGTTATGTAGTCAGTCCTGTGGTTTCTTAAGAGAGACACAGGATCCTTACAATGATGCAGATGTAACATAAACTTTCACACTACAAAAATGTATTTCTAACACTAACATTTTATAAGGAGAATATCTTGATTCCTTATGCTAGTATTCCTCCTCACTCTTCTGTAAGTTAATTTATTAGAGTTTCAGAAGTTATTCTTTTAGCAACTTCATTTTATAGCAGGATTGTAGAAAGTATCATGGGTTCTTCCAGTAAATGAAGTATTGCGACCAGAATTTTTGTTGATTTCTAGTTTTGAGATTTTATACAGTAGATGTTAAAGATCATAAGAGTATTTTACTGATACAAGAATATTAACATGGAGACCTAATGAAGTACTTTGAAATATAAATACTAGTAAATCTATGGTTTTTTCCAGTCAAATAATTACCCTAAAATAATTTACTCTTCATAAAGGTCAGTTTCATGTGAGTCTGAATTTTATTTTAAATGTAAATTACACAAAAATGTCCCAGTGTGTCCTCTGATATTTTCTGTAACTTGATAACTGAAAGTTGTTTCGTGACTTGTACATAACTCAGAATACTTGCTTTTACATCTCATCATTTATTGTAGTTAGGGGTTTTGCAGAGAACAATTAGAATCAGGACATGGATTTTATAATATTATTTTTATAATGGTCACTGGGAGTTAACACAAGAAAATGCAGGAAATCTATCCACAACACCAAAAACATAGAATATTTAGTCAAGGCCTAAATCCCACAGCAATGTCTCACAAGAGTCCAGATGAAAACCCAGAGTTCATAACAACACCTTCCACGAGTCCAACTAGAGGTGCAGAGCCCACAAGAAGGACTCACGCCAGCCTCTTCTATGGATCCATGCCTGGAAGGCCCGAAGCTCAGTGGGGGAAGCCAGAAAGTCCATGCAAGTGGGGTGAAGGAGCTGTGCTGATAGGTTGAGGGTTCTACGCTGGAGCCTGGGAGTCACACTCACAACAAAGACCAGGGCTGTCCTGAAAAGACCTCAGCCATCCTCAGTGACATGGAGGCCCTGAGCTCCTCCGATGTCAAGCACAGTCAGGTACATGCCAGGAAGCCAGCATGACAAGTTCCTCCTGGAGACCAAGTGGCGCACATCTTCGCCTCTGGAGCCAGGAAGCAATGCACAATGTGAGGACCAAAGCTTCTCCAGGAGAACCAATGGCTCAAATGGCAACTCCTAGGAGAACCCACAATGCCTCAACGCAATAATGCCTTAATGCCCTAACACCCACTTCTTCACCTCTCTATTTATGCTGGCAACTTTCCTCAGGTGGGATATCCACACTCAGCACCATAGTGATGTAATCCAGCTGGCTTTAAGTTGACCACCAGTTTTTTATCCATAATATCATGGTATTTTCAAGTATAAGGATTTGCTTTAAAATTAGTTCATTCAGAAGCTCAGATGAAAAGTGTTTTTCATATTTAAATTTCTAAGCTTCGAAATCCTCTCTGAAATGTGGCATCACTTTTAGAGTTCCTAACCTTTTTGCAAGGTACTAATGTGAAGTTTGATGAGAGTGCCACCTTCCCCACAACTAACCTGCTTGACAGAAGAGGTGCTGATCTCAACAAGGAAGTGGCTCAGTACTGGGTTGCTCTCAGCAAACACAGGATGCTGTAAAAGAGGTAGAATAGAGCATGGAATTCTGCAATGAGGGGGACATCTGAAGATATCCAAACACTGACGCCGGATACCTCAGGGTCTTTGACCACGGAGGCACTGGACATTCAGAGAACTTTGACCATGGATTTGTGCTCAGATCTCCTCACCTGAAAACTCTGACCTTTATTGAACAAGATTAGTAAAAGTCTCCAGTTTTTGTGTGTACTACAGAGATGGCCTTTTCATTCTCTCTTTGCCTGCACTCAGACATGATAAATTTTGTGGCATGTTGCTTTTACACAAGCCTGGTAGTCTCTGCTGGTTTCTGATCCCTGAAGTTCCTTGTAGCTAATAAACTTCCAAAATGGCTTATTGCACTACATATGCATACACACACATTCTTTAATAACCTGTATGACTTTCAGTTTTTGTAATTCCTAAAAGTGTCCATTGACAACCACTTTCATGTGTTTCAGACTACTAGAGAGCTCTTAGTATGCACATGCACTAGGAATGGAACAACCAGCTCTTCAGTATAGAGGTAACTGGTGGTACTCTTGGATCCAAGCTTGCATAAGTCCGTGTTTCTCACATGCTCCTGTAACATGCTCCATCATCTTATCAGTTTTCACTTGCAGTGCACAAGCTCAAAGGCCAATTTATTAGGAATGTCACAACAGCAACAGCAGAAAATTAAGTCCACTTCCGGGATCCGTATAGTTGTCCATATAGGGCCAAGCCTGCAGACCTCACAGGCCACCACCCAAGAGGCTATGCTTGCTCCCAGCTCCCCTGGAGCTGCCCAACTGCCCTCTTCCTAGTTCTCAGGGTCACAATCTTTTGCAGGAAATCCTGTACATTCCCATAAAAGTCCTTGCAAGGCTGGATGCACATATAAAAACCTTGGCTTTGCTTGTCAACATGTTGTTGTGAAGTTTTCTGCTCATCTTACCATAACATAAATAGTAGAACATCTGGAGTAACACAGTTACTCAAAACATAAGCAAGATCAGTCAATGTTTGCACCAGAAAAGGAGAAGTTCAAGAAGCTCTTTAATAAAGGGTGCTGTTTAGAAAACACTAAAAAGCAAATTATAGTCCATGACGTGTATGAACACTTATTACAGATCATCAATGCACATCATTTGCATTGTGGAGTCCCCTCCTCTGGCCAGCTCAGGGCACAAGCCCTGGTGCCAAACACCCCAAGTGGGGCATCCTCTGTGGCTTCACTAGTTAGCAACCACATGAGCTCAGAACCGGGCTTTCTGCTCTAGAGTCCTCAGTTTACTCCCAAGCAAAGTGAAGAAATAATTTCAGTACTTAGATCACATATGTAATCACCTATTCAGAGTGACTGACACTCAGTGCCATGAAGGATCTTTCCATCATATTTGTTATGGATTCCAAGACTGAAAATATAAAAATACAATCAAAGGATTTGTCTGCAGTAAAAAGTCTGATGTTAGCGAAAATAACAGCGGTGCAGTGTTAATGTGGAAACCCAAAGCCGTGCATGCTGCAGGGTGACTCCCCTGAGGCAGTGGCTGTGGCTCAGTCCCAGCTGCAGTTTGGAACCAGGCTGTAGGTGAGCAATGAGCACTGTGCGTCTACCGCACAGAGGTAGAAGCCAGAGTCTCCTGGCTTGGATGCTTTTGCTATGTGTAGGGTGCCAGAACGTTCTTTGAAATTAAATGTTGACTGCAGCCTTCCAGCTTGCTTTGTCCCTGGAGACATGAAGAACAGACTGACAAGGCCGCCTCTTGGGTTTTGCCGGAACCAATGCATCACATTCGTGGTGGTAGAAACATTGCACCTGAGTGTTATGTTTGCTCCCTCCTGGAGACTCAGGGTTGAAGGGCTCTGTTCCACCTGTTCCCCTCTCACGCCTGTTTGGAAAGAGAGAAACAGACATGCACATTGGCACTGGGGAATCAATTAGGAGTTTCCAAACCTGGGCAATATCCCAGGAAACGCTCGTGAGAATGAAGAACAGTCCAGCATCTTGGTGTTATTCCTCCCCTCTCTGCTCCCAGTCAGATATGCAGAGCCCAGGGGCGGGGGAGGGGGGGCTCAACTCACAGCAAGCTTGCACCCACAAAAGCCCCAGCAGGGCTGCCAGTTTCCTCTCCATGCCTCCTGACCCGCCTGCGGTTTCTTTCTCCAGGCTCTGGGTGTAGTCCCGAGAAGCTCCCAAACTTGCTCCTACAGGAGCAGGTGCCTTGGACTCACTGAGCACAAGAGACATCTGAATTTTTTTTCCAGGTTGTTAACAGGAAACCCACCCACAGTTGTGAGGGGAGAATACTCAGTAGTAACTGCAGTGCCCTCTAGTGAGCTGAAATCATCAACACAGGTCATTTCAGACCAGTGATACTTAGCCCTCACACTCAAACAACAACCTTCTTCACTCTGAGTTTCCTAATGCAGAAATGCAAGTGGTCAAAAGTTGGAATGCCTGGATTGGATAGAGGTTAACAAAGCACCACTTTTAGGCTTGAGGATTCAGCTTAGTAGAAAAATTCATGTATTTAGCGCTAGCTGAAGATCCAGAACCAAATAACAACAAGAGTAATGAAATACGCATATAATCCCGAATCCCCACAGAGTCCAATTCTGTCCTTACATCATTCATCAACTTAACTCATCCTATTTTTTCCAACCTGGGAGGCTGTGCTAATAGGTATCTCAGAGTATTTACAGTCTTTACAATACACCAAGTATGTGGAGCAAGAGAACATAGTATTTGATCTACAGCATTTTACTTGATGAAAAATGGTTCATTATTTGAATACCCTTATGCAACAGACTATAAACTCCTTAATATATTTGTAAATCTTTTGGTTTCACAAACATGGCCCATGGCTCCCTTGGACTTTTGTATAGGCATGGTTTATTTCTTACAACCGTGTCTTCATGGATCAACTCTTAATATGTTTGCAGTTAACTAAGAATGACACGTAATATTGCAGTAAACTGCTTAACACATTTCTTTTATTTAGTCTACCAAGGTTTTTCTAGAAGTGAGTTAAGAAGTGAAAAGATGACCCATGTAGCCAGCAGGGGGAATACTGTACCTTGAAATTGGTCCCAGTGAAAAGGATCTGAAGAAGGAAGTGAAATCAAGCTATGAGTTTTGTGAAAATTGATTTTGTTTTTATTACTTTATTTATTTATATATGGAATCTTTAGTTTGTCAGCCTATTAAATAAACTCTGAAATTACTTAAAATACATAAATATGAGCATATACATGTATTTACATGCATAGGGTCCACTAATCAGTCATGAGATGATTCTGAACATAATAAATCAACTAGAGAGAAAATAAAAGAAGAAAGTAGATACACAAGGAAAATGATATGGTGTACACAAAAAATTAGTAGCATCACACATGGAAAAATATGAAACATACACAGAATTACATATATATTTATATATAATTTAAGAAATTTTTTCACAAGAATGGAGCTGTACTACAAATTTTCTAAAACAATAAAAGAAAATGAACATTTTTCAATGCAACAGAAATCTACCAAGGAACAAAAAAATCAAGGTTATTTCAACACCAAAATATTAAAATTGAATCACAACAAAAATCATTTGATTGCATCAAAATTAAAAATCTTGTTACACATCGATGTTAGGCTAACTTCATACTCTGGTTAGATAGAATACAGAAGTACAGGATGTGCCTGTGTTTCTGACCTCTGATTCTCCTCCCTTGACACATTTTCTAAGGCCTTGGTCTGGGAGCCTGGGTCATCTGCAAGGAGAGATTAAATCAAGGCTGAGTGGAAAGGCCTGATGACCAATGGACGCCTGTTGGTGACCAGCGCTTTCTGGAGGCCAAGTAAAGAACAGAAGATTCAGTGTCCCCGAAGGAAACTGAGGTGTGCTTTCCTTTCACTCAGATGTAGCAAAAGCTTTCATGGAGTATTTTTTTCTTCCTTATTCAGTGTAGGCCTCTTCAGTGCCCAATTACATTAATCTTAGCCTTAATGAAACACTGGTCTTAAAGCACTGGGCTTGAAATCACCTCTTGCCTGCTATGAGCTGTTTTTCCTCTGTGATGCCCACCTGCTCTGCTGCCTCACCTTTGAGTCAATGACTGTATTTCTCAAGGATTATTGCAAGCTGAAATTTTCAAGGATTATTTCAAAAAAAAAGTTTATTATATGTGGGACTCTCATAATTAGTACAATCCAAAAACTAAGGAATTCAAAATTTTAACTATTTCTGTATCTTTGGCCTGACCCTTTCTACTGGACTCCAGCCAGTAACACCTCAGACTTGACTTGTCACAATTGAACTTTTGGTCTCCCCTTCTCTTCCAGCTTTGGGTCTGGGCGATCGATGCTGGGGAGTACAGTGCCCTGGCTAAATAGAAATAGATGGCTAAGTTCTCAGGGTGAGCAGCAGTGAGGTATAGAAAGAGATGTTTGTCTCTATTTTTCAGAAAGGCATTGAGTCTATGGGTTTGCTTCTTGTCCATATTTGAAGGTATATGAAGAAGAAACTAGAACCCTCTGTCAGGCCCTTGACTATGCCAATAGAAGAAGGAGGCAGTGTGCTGCAATAGACTGCACGTCTATTTACGTGCAGTTTATGGCTGAACTGTGTCTTTCTGGACACCCAGGAAAGAGCAGCCCTGCTCCACCTGCTCTTCTCTACTCATTTCCCAGGCAAAAAGAAAAGTTACACAGGATACCAAGCCATTACTCTGCAGATCTGCACTTTTCCCCTACAGGACTTTCAGGCCGTAGGGAACTAGCTAGTCTCCTCCTTGAGCTTCCAGTGAATGTTGGTAAACACCTTAATTCTAAAAGGTTCACAATTCACAGTGCAATCACAGCACAGGATCAGGGTCCACAGTACCTCATTACTTTCCTCACCAGGACTAGAAGCTTTAGCCAAGAGAGACTCTTCTATTATTCGCTTGTTTCTTCCTTTCCTCCAAGGTACAATAGTTTTTTTAAAACTGTCTGCACAGATCCCTGCTTCTGTCTATAGCGTGCGCCTTCTGTCAGAAGGCGACCACATAGAACCTTCTATGATTTCTGCTGCAACAAAGATGGTCAGTCATCTGTGAACAGATGTTCAACTTCTAAACCAGTCAACCAGGTCCTTTTTTATTTTTTTGAGCACTTTTTATCCACTGATCAGATTACCATAATACCATGATGGATACCTTAGTTCATCCTTCTAATAAGCTCATTGGTCTGGTTTTCCCTATCCCCATCATCTCTGTCTTGCATAAGAGGCCCTTTACTTCATTTAATCCCGAGTAGGTAATTTTAAAGGCCATAGGAAGTGACTTGCCCCTTTGGTGTATTTTCCAACAGTATACATTATCTCCAATTCAATCCTGTTTCCAGATGATGCCATAGTTACCAAAAGATCTAGCAACCATATCTCTTTTGCCCTCTATTTACAAGATACCCTGACGTGAAAACCAAGTTAAAATATGTTCACAGTCAATCATGTTAGCCCTAACAAAAGTTCATACAAAATAAGTTCAAAATATGTTCACATTCAGTCATGTTAGCCAGAAGCAGACATAGTAAAAAAAAAAAAAAAAAAAAGAACTCAGTTTACATTGCATGCTCTCAAACATGCTGAGAAACTTAAAATTAACTTTAAATTTTACTTTCTTCATGTTTATTTAACAACAGATTAACCTAAAAAGATCAGAAAGAGTGCTACTGAGATAGTTTCGCAATGCAAAAGTGAATTTCTTCCTGCGTATCCTTCTCCTCCTCTTTAACTTGTCCAAGAGAGACTCATTCAGCCAGATCAATAGTCAGGCGTCAGTTCCCACAGAGAGAACTCTTTTTTTTTTAAATTTTATTTAAGAGGAAAAAGAGAAAAACACAAAACAAAACAAAGAGGTGTAAGGGTACACGTAATACAGAACTACAAAAAAAAAAAAAAACATAACAGTAAGAAATCACCTGTTAATAGATTACATATTATCATCTTGAAAATAGTTGATCAAATCACAGTATCAAAGAATACAAAGTGGACATTCAAACAGGGAGACTGCAAACAGCTGAGTTCAATGATCCAAAAACATTGATATAGTCAGCTATTTAACACCCCTAAACAAACTTGCTGTTATATCCGTTAGAGTTCTTTTTTTTTTTCCCCTCTATTTTTAAAACAACATTTACACATTTTGGATTTTATTACTCCTTAGTTCTTATTACTTTTTTGGGGGGGAGAGAATACAGTCAAATATGGCATAATAAAGCTGTCAGTCAAAACCAAGGATAGACATAGCACACGGTGTAGAACAGAGTACAAGGTTATCAACAATGGTTATCAACGTTGTCTCTTGTTTCCTTAAAAAGAATTGTGTATCTCATTAGATATTATAAAGTTGGACAAAACAGTAGAGAACAAGACCAATAAAACTTAGGCATTGTAAGCATTACAGGACTTCCAAAGAAGACAATAGTCAAACCAGAATGGGCATCTTAGTGAATCTTATTGCCTTCAAAGTAGTTGCCTATATCCTCAAACTTGATACTATCATACAGAATGGAACAGAGTCTAATCAGTCAAAACAAGATCGTGGGAGTATTACAGCACTTCAAAACAAGTTAATGGGAAATCAAAAAGAATTACTATTATATATCCTAATATTTTAAATTATTTCCCTTAATTAAGACAAACATAAGAAATAGCTAAATAATTTTTTTAAAGAATAAGGGGGAGATTGAGATAAAACAGGACATAACAATATAACAATACAGGTCAAAGCATGACTGTTTCAGCAACCTAGTGCTTCACCACCAAATAACCTGACTTAATAGTTACCATAGTGTCTGTCTTTTTCCTTGAAATATTTGGATAAAACTTCATATACTCTAGCTTCAAATATTTCCATATCAAGAAGCCCAGAATAAAGCCTTTCTAATTAATGAGTGAAAACTTTATAAGGCTTCAAGGCCACATAATGGGGAATCATGATTACCACATATTTTTATTTATTTGAATCATTACTTACATTAGGGAAACTATTCGGTATTCACACATGCGAGATTGATTTATTTCACTTATGAGTATGGTCTCAAGCTGCGCCCATTTATTGATAAATATTTCAATGTGATCCTTCTTTATAGCTGAATAATACTCCATCGTATAGAAATACCACAACTTTTTTATCCATTCCTCAGTTGATGGACACTTGGGTTGTTTCCAAGATCTGGCGATTACAAATTGTGCTGCTATAAACATAGGTGCA